ATTCTCTCCCTCTCCCTCTGCCCCCCGCTTGCATGCTCTCTCTCCCTCTAAAATAAATAGATTAATCTTTAACAAACAATCAAAACACCTGTGCGATGAACATGAGCACAGCAACTTCCTTTATATTCCTTCCATTTCAATAACTAGAGGAACACTCACATGACACAGGACCGTATTGTTACAGTATCCTGTTTTGTGTGTCTTTTTAAGATTTATTTATTTATTTATTTATTTAGTACACATGTGAGGGGGGAGAGGCAGAGGGAGAGTGAGAGAGAATCTTAAGTAGGCTCCACGCCTAGCACAGAGCCCAACATGGGGCCAGTCTTAGGACCCTGAGGTCATGACCTGAGCTGAAATCAAAAGTTGGACATTCAATCAACTGAGACACCCAGGTGCCCCTACAATGTTTTCTAGAAAACTGCTTGTATTGATGCAGCATATATGGTGACAATAAGCAGAATAACTTCCTTTACATGACATCTGTATCAATAAAAGGGAGGTGCACCTGGCTGGTTCAGTTGGTAGAGCATGCGACTCTTGATCTCAAGGATGTGAGTTCAAGCCCTGCATTGGGTCTAGAGATTACTTAAAAAAAAAAATCTTAAAAAAAAAAAATAAATGGGAAGCATTCATGTTAAAGAGGATCCTGTTGTTACAGGACTTGCTGACACTGGAGGACGTGGCCATGGACTTCACCTGGGAGGAGTGGCAGCTCCTGGCCCCCGCCCAGAAGGACCTGTACCGGGACGTGATGTTGGAGAACTATAGCAACCTGGTGTCAGTGGGTGAGGACAGCTCCCTTGTGTCACTTAGAGGTCCTCATCAGTGGTCTGTCCTCTGTCAGCCACTTAACGCTTCAGAGTATCTGCAGTGCTCTCAAGTGGTAGATTCTCAGATCCTTCTCTGGCTTCAGACAAGAGTGTATAATGAGTTGTCTCCTGAGAGAAAAGCCTCTGAGTTGCAGATCTGAAAACTGTCTCAGTCCCTCAGATATAGCATTCTCCCATCTTGACAGACCCCAGCCCATTTCGA